CACTTTACAATTTATTTATACATTTTTATATTACATTTGATTCTTTAATTCATTGTGTGTTACTGTGTTAATGCTGCTTGCTACCACTGCAATTCCCAAGCTTGGGATCAATTTAAAGTCTATCTATCTATCTATCTAATTATCTTAATCTATCTATCATTCTATCTTATCTATCTTTTGATAAACCTTTTTTTTTGAATAAACATAAAAAACATAAAAAATACATCAACTCTAGTAAATTACACTATATGCACATTCACTTACCTCAATTTTACCCACCAAAGAAACTGCCACGTTTTTAAAATATTTATTTATTTTCAGCTTACCCTTTTGGCCACTACTGTCTACTTGTTCTACATATTGTTATTGGTTTGTTTGTTTATATATGCTTAAGAACTGGAATTATTAGTTGTTTAAATTTTGGTTGTTTTGTTTTATTTTATGTCAGTTCTGTGTGGTGTATATTGACAGCAAACGTAAAAAACCAGGAGTTCCGCATTCCCCTTGAATGTGTGGCAACGTACCTGGCAATAACAGTGTCTGACTATGGAAAACAAATGACTGGGTTGTGAAACGGAGCTACCACAATAAAGCTCTGACTTGATTGATTGATTGATGTTGATCCCAATAACTATAAAATCAGCCTCAGGTTCTAACTGAGACCTGCCTTATTTTTGGTCAAAAAAAACTTGGAAAAGTTTTACGTTTTATATTACAAGAGTATTTATGTAATATGGGCTAGATCAGTTTTCTAATTCCAGCTTTAATGCCAGTTTAGTTTATGGCCATTGTATGTGTTTATCTTCCCACCCTTGGGCACTCCATTTGGCACTGCCGTCTTATTCTGACTGATTCAAACCGGGAGTAAAAAAATATTTGCACTGCTGGATGAAACTTGTATTGAACCAGGCGTTTTTTTTTTTTTTTGGGGAAGCTAGGGGTTAGGCTGACTTATCTTCCTAATACCCAGCCCCCCCGCCCGCGATGTGTTCTGTGCCCCCACTCTACTCTCTCTCATGGACACCACGATGTTTCAGCTCAGGTCGTTCGTCCATCAGGCGCGCGGCTTACACTGGCGGCGGAGGAGATCCTCGGGGAGGCTGGGAAGAAAACCATAACGTTAGCTCTGTACGAAAGCCGAAGTTAGGTCGATCTAAAGAGGAGGTTTGGAAAGTCTGCGAACACCAGCTTAGGACCTCCTGCGAAAGAGACCAGGTCTGGGAGAAATAATGTGCTTTTACACTGGTTATTAAAGCAGTGCTGGTGGGGTGGCTGCAGCTATGGTGGCGAAATAAATGCGGACCCTGTGTTTGGATTAGGAGTAAAGTATGAATCAACATTATCAACATAGCTATTAAAATCGATAACCATACCAGTAAAGATGTTTTTTATATATAATGTTTTTTATAATAGTTATTACTATTACTATTCATTAATAGGTAAATAATAGTTAACAGTAAACAGTGGTGACAGGAAATAAGCAGGAGGTGCTTTTCATGCAATGCTTATCAATAGAATCTTGTATCAAATGGAGTTCAATGCAAAGTAGATCGATGTAGTTTCCAAAAGAATAACACAGCAACCGAGTCCCCTAACCTGTCCTTACTTCTATTCTACTTTATTTGACATCACTTTATCTATTCAGCTCCTCACACTGAGGTAGGTAGGTGCCTTTGTTGTAGGTTACTGTGGGTGGCTGGCCTGAAAAGGATCCACGTGTTCGCTACTCTCAAATATAATCTGTTAATAAATTATCATTTGTATATATCGCGTTGATTACACATTATTCCAATCCATACAGGTAAATTGCTTTCCCAACCACTGTGGGAGATATGACACCCATTAGGAGGGGGTGACCAGGTGTTTTATTGAAGAAGGGATTAAGTAAGCATGCTGGATGAAGACGGCCTGACCCACCTGAAGGTTTTCTCTCCCAACACTGTAGTAGCTATGGATGATTGGGCGTTGTCAGCCACTAATCAGAAGAGTTGGATGGTACGATCCCCGGGTCCTACCCCAACTGCATGCTCGAGTGTCCTTGAGCAGTCTAAGTGGGATTACTTTTTCTGTTCATAAACAAGAATAAGAATCTTACATCTTGCCTCAGTGTTTATGAATGTTAAAGTTGCTATATAAGCATGCTGTCCATTATGGCCAGTAAACCATTATTCTACAAGCGCAGCGGAGCTGTTTAAAACTGTACATCTTCAGAGTACAATGCTTGAGATCAACACTTTCACAGAAACTCTCTGAAGCAGCGTATTGCAAATTGGAGTTTTTATATTGTGTGTATCATTAAGACTTCTTGAAAAACCTTACGGCCTGTTGGCGGTAAACTTTATTACTCCTAATCTCTATTTGTAGCTGAAGATCTCATGACCACGGTCACAGTGAACATGGAGACAAAATAGTGAAGGCCCACTGATTGCAGAGAGAACCCAGCGACCCTCAAACACCAGCAAGATTCTACCTTCAGTCGAGGCAGCTGACGGCACCCGGGACCCTCTAACAAACCAGCGCAGATAGGCATAATAATAAACTGGAATGATGACATGCCATTAGGTTGAGACAGATTCAAGATGTCTCCAGGAATAAAACATGAGAACAGGGAGAGAACATTGTGCGGGATAATCAGTCACAAACACAGCGAGCATTGTTATTTCCTTCTACCTAGAAGTTGTAAAAGCAGCAAGAGCAGCCTAGAGACACAGACGTTCCTATGAAAATGCGGCCAGTTTCTTCTGATGCTCCGCCAGGCCCAGGAAGTGAGGACACAATAAACACGAATGAAGACGAGTCAGGTGACCAGCAAGGAGAACAGACAAAACAGATGAAAACGGGAAGATAGAACAAAAGCTTGGACAGCATTGATAAGAAGTACCAAACAGCAAGCGGAAATATGAACAATGGCTCCGATAAAAACGAAAAGGGCTCGCAGTTTAATCATTTGTGTAGAAAGGGATTCCAGTACAATCAGCTCTTTGAAATGGCACATACAACACCACGAGAAACACAGATTGAATTGACAACCGTTTGTGGAGATAGACATACCAGCCACAGAAGAGCTGATAATTCATCTGAAAGTATGTCACAACAAAACAATAATTTTCTGCGATGTTTGGTGGCAGACTTTATTGCCATAACCGGCTTCTAACCAGCCTGGCATGAGAGAATACACACCAGCCGAAAAGAGTTCATGGTTGTCAAGATGCGGACCAAAAACGTAAAAATTTCCGAAGAGAGCACATTAACTGTTGCATGTGGGACCCACTCTTGGGAAGAAACACATATCAACTGGTGACTTGTTATGCGGAAAAAAACGCATTCAGTCAGAGCCCAGAAAAACCATATACAATACTCCTTAAAAAAACGTCAATTCAGGAAAGAAGACCGATCAGATGTGCCCTGGATGTGGAAACTTTTTAACACTTAGTAGTACACACTAATAAAACGCACACTGAGAATACCATATCAGGAGAAACCAGTTACCAAAAATAGAAAAATTTTTTTTATTTTTAAAAGTAAACTTAACACTCTCCTCCTCAGCTTTGACTTTGATCAGATGGTTTTATGGACCTTTACTTATTTTATTTAACTATTAATTGTATTATATTCATGCTCTTGTTGTTGTGTTTGGTCTATATCACTGTTTTTTTACATTTATTTTATTAATTAATTGTCATAAATGTCACCTCTCATGTGCCTCAGTGCCTCTTTTCATTGGCTTGTTCCAATTGCAGTGGCCTGTATGAAAGGTGCTGCACACAAATAAAGTCTGATTGATTGATTGATTGATTGATCCAAATAACTATAAAATCCAGCTCAGGCTTCTAACTGAGACCTGCCTTTATTTGTCAAAAAAAACTTGGAAGGTTTTACGGTTTCTATATACAGAGTATTTATTGGTAATTATGGTGCTAGATCAGTTTCTAATTCAGCTTAATGCAGTTTAGGTTTAGGCCATTGTATGTGTTATCTCCACCTTGGCACTCCATTTGGCACTGCCGCTCTTATTCTGAACTGATTCAAACCGGAAGTAAAATATTGCCTGCTGGATGACAAACTGTATTGACAGGGTTTTTTTTTTTTTGGAGCTAGGTTATAGCTGACTTTATCTTCCTAACTACCCAGCCCCCGCCGCGGATGTGTCTGTGCCCCAGCTCTCTCTCTCTCATGGACACCACGATGTTTCAGCTCAGGTCGTTCGTCCATCAGCGGCTGTACACGGCGGCGGAGGAGATCCTCGGGGAGGTGGAGAAAACCATAACGTTAGCTCTGTACGAAGCCGAAGTTAGTCGATCTAAAGAGGAGGTTGAAAGTCTGCGACACCAGCTAGACCTCCTGCGAAAGAGACCAGGTCTGGGAGAAATAATGTGCTTTTACACTGTTATTAAAGCAGTGTGGTGGTGGTGAGCTATGGTGGGAAATAAATGGGACCTGTGTTGGATTAGAGTAAAGTATGATCAACATATCAACATAGTAATTAAAATCATAACTCATACAGTAAAGATGTTTTTTTATAATATAATGTTTTTTAGAATAGTATTACTATTACTATTCATAATAGTATAATAATAGTTAACAGTAAACAGTGGTGACAGGAAATAAGAGAGTGCTTTCATGCAATGCTTTATCAATAGAATACTTGTATCAAATGGAGTTCAATGCAAAGTAGATCTGATGTAGTTTCCAAAAGTAGATAACAAGCAAACCGAGGCCCCTACCTGTCCTACTTCTATTCTACTTTATTTTGACATCCTTTATCTATTCAGCTCCTCACACTGAGGTAGGTAGGTGCCTTGTTGTGGTTACTGTTGGTGGTGCCTGAAAAGGTCAGTGGTGTACTCTAAATATAAATCTTTAATAAATATCATTTGTATTATCGCGTTGATTACACATATTCCAATCCATACAGGTAAAATTGCTTTCCCACACGTGGGAGAATTGACACCATTAGGAGGGTGACTCAGGTGTTTTATTGAAGAAGGATTAAGTAGCGTGTGACTGAAGACGCCTGACCCACCTGAAGGTTTTTCTCCCACACTGTATAGCTATGGATGTTGGGCGTGTCAGCCACTAATCAGAAGATTGGTGGTCGATCCCCGGGTCCTCCCACTGCATGTCGAAGTGTCCTTGAGCAGTCTAAGTGGGATTACTTTCTGTTTCTCATAAACAGAATAAGAACTTACATCTGCCATCAGTGTATGAATGGTTTAAAGTGCTATATAAGTGCTGTCCATTTGAGTAACATTATTCTACAAGCTGCAGCGGAGTGTTTTAAAACTGTACATCTTCAGAGTAAAGTGATCAACACTTTCACAGAAACTCTCTGAAGCAGCGTTTGCAAATTGGAGTTTTTTTTATATTGTGTGTATCTTTAAGACTTTCTTGAAAAACCTTACAGGCTGTTGGGTAACTTTTACTCCTATCTCTTTTGTAGCTGAAGAGTCTTCATTGACCAGCGGCACAGTGGAACATGGAGACAAATGTGAAGGCCCACTGTTGCAGGAGAACCCAGGACCCTCAACACCAGAAGATTCTACCTTCAGTCTGAGCGCTGACGCCCCGGGACCCTCTCAAACCAGCGCAGATATGGATAATAATAACTGGAAATGCTGCTTGGTTGAGACAGATTTCAAGATGTCTCAGATAAAACAGGAACAGGAGGAACTTGGGGATGACAGTCAAACACAGGAGATTGTTTTTCCTTCTCCTGAAGTTGTAAAAAGCGAGCAAGAGCAGCCAGAGACACAAGCGTCCTATGAAATGCAGCCAGTTTCTTCTGACTGCTCCGCGGCCCAGAGTGAGGACAATAACGACGATGAAGACGAGTCGGTGACCAGCAAAGGAGAACAGACAAAAACGATGAAACGGGGAGGAAAGATAGAACAAAGTGGCAGCATTGATAAGAAGGTCCAAACAGCAATGCGGTATGACAAATGCTCCGATAAAAACGAAAAGGGTCGCAGTTTTTGTCATTTGTGTGGAAAGGGATTCCAGTACATCGGCTCTTTGATGAAGCACATAAAAACACACGAGAACACAGTTGATTGCACCGTTTGTGGGATGGCATACCAGTCCACAGAAGAGCTGATAACTCATCTGAAAAGTTGTCACAACAAAACACATTTTTGCGACGTTTGTGGCAAGACTTTTGCCAATAACCGCTGTCTCCGGCTGCATGAGAGAATACACACAGGCACAAAAGAGTTCATGTGTCAAGAATGCGGCAAAACGTTTTACCGAAGAGAGCATTTGACTGTGCATGTGAGGACCCACTCTGGGGAGAAACCATATCACTGTGATGTTTGCGGAAAAGCATTCAGTCAGAGCCAGAACCTTACAATTCATAAAAGAAGTCATTCAGGGGAGAGACCGTATCAGTGTGGCCTGTGTGGCAAACTTTTTAACACTAGTAGTCACCTTAAAACGCACATGAGATACCATTCAGGAGAAAAACCGTACCAATGTGATATTTGTGGTAAACGTTTTAGCCAGAGCGGACAGAGGAGCAGACACAGGACCACGCACACAGGAGAGAGGCCGTATGCCTGCCATGTTTGTGGTATGAGGTACAGGTTTGCACCTAATCTTAAGGTGCATCTGCAAACTCATGAAAAGCCAGCCGCTGAGTGACAGCCGTTAACGAGATGGACAGATAGCATTACTCACCTGTTGGCCATTAATGACTACAAAGCAAATTTACTTAAAGGTTATATATATATATATACGAAACTCGCCGCTACTACTATATTTTGCACTAGACCATCTCAGCCTCTCAGACCAAAACAAATGGGTGCTACAGTCCACCAGACTCCATAGACAAAACAAATACTTTTACCTTGCAGGTGATCATAAAACTCACCCAAATGTCTTTGTTCGTCTTTCCAACAATCAACCTTTAATTCCAGTTAGGTTGCTATGGCTGCCATGTAATGCGCCCGTTAAATTACGGCCACTGAAAGTGCTTGTTCTTGACACTGACTGTCAGATTGTTATTCTAATTGTCTGGAAACATTATGGAAAAAATCCCTACAGAGATAGACAATTTGTTCCACCAGAAACAGCCATAAAAACGCCACCAGACTCCATAGACAAAAACGGTAATTTTAACTCGCATTTCATTGTAACATTTTAACTTCATTCAAAGTGGACAGGAACAAAATAAAACTCACCGAAACCATCTTTACTAGTCTTTCCACTGTTACAACAATCAGCAACTTAGGTTGAAGTCACCGTCGTAGATATTGTCATTCGCTCTCCTCAGTTGGGAACACAGGGACTCACAAGCACTAACATGCATGCATGACCAGACCGCCTTTGTAAAAAAAAAAAAAGCACAGACAGGCTCAGGACACCTTGACTCTATAATGTCTTTAGATAGCAAATAGTTGTTTGCTGTGATATTAATGTTTTTGAATCTCATCCATTTAAGTTCCTGCCAGCCGTTTCAGAACGTTTAGAACGTTTTGTTCGATTTGGCACATGTCATGTAGCTACTGGGCTCAGTACATTCTAAGATACTTGAGATAATTCATCTCACCATGAACATTTAGTGACCTTCGTCTATCTACAGATTAACGTCGGGCAGAGCTGACATGGAAATATGTTGAGGTCATTATATTTCCATATGTATTTATAACCAGTAAACATTTTAAGTTGTCAAAAATTGACCCTGCCTCTTTCTGATTTCTGATTGGGAAATTGCATAGCTCTGCAATGCCAGTTTAAGAGACAGGGTGCGACAGAGTTTTTATTCAGCAGATATTAACAACCGCATGGCAAAATAGTAGGAAGGATGCTGCTTGGCTGTAGTGTGTGTGAAGACAATGACAGAGATTAAGGACGTAAAATCTGTATAATTTACTGGCTACACCATAAGGGGGAAATTAGACAGATGCCCACACAGTCTAGTCAGGCGAGACAAGTGAAAACACCTGTGTAGGTGTACCATTGGTGTGCAGGGCCTTTGATAAGTTCAACAAAACTAATGCACACACAGTGTTGACATCAGGTCTAATAAAACATCTGTGTGGGTGTTTTAACTGCTAGAAATTAGCAATGTTAAGAGATCTATGGGTACTCCAATACTCCACAAGGGAGACATTCATTGTGAAATATTAGCAAACAGTTTTAGTTCAGTGATGGCAAGAATGAGAATTAGATAGATCTACCAGGCAGACATTTACACACTGATTGTCTGCACTTAGCTGATGGTGTTAAATTGATGTCATCTAGGCTATGCATCTTGTGCCAAGGATTTTTTTCTCCCCTGAACATGCAAACACATTTGTGACAATGTGAATGTCCTGTTTTTTATAAGTTAGATTTATTAACTATTGGAAAACCATAACCTGACATAACTAAATCCATAATAATTCCCTTTAGGTTTCTGTTCATATGACTGAAACTGCTGAAATACCAAGAAGCTTATCTGATCCCTATAGGTAAGACCAATTAAACTTTGACCACCACAGTGCAATACATTTCATGTATGCATTTTTGTATATTGTTCTGTGTAATGTCTTCTTATGGTGAAACCAAGTTTCCACATTGGGGACAATAAAGTTTAATATCCTGTCATATCACATTACTGTAGTCAATTTATCTTTTCCTGGCTTTGGCCATCAAAATATTTACACCAATATTGTCCTTCTGTCAGTCCAAACATCTTATACCCGGCACAAAGCTCCCTACGTGGTATTAAGTCAATGTGCTATATGTCTGTTATTACAAGTTCATGGAGATTCTGGATGGTATATGTGGATTTGACTGTTAATGTGTCTTTCTGTTGCCATAAACTGAAAGCTGTCTTTGTTTTAGTTTGTTTGATTTGATTATTTTGAATCTGAAACAGAATTTAGAAAATCTAAACTGTAAACAAGCAAAAACTAATTTGAATTTCATTTAAAAAAAAAAAATCAAAATAAAGAAAAACAGATCATTTTTTGGCATTCAACAACTACAATTTCCACGAAGCCTGGACAACGTGACTCCTGGGATAAGCCTACTCTGTTTGTTTTTTTTACATTTTACTAACCAGTGAACATACAGCACATTTAGCTTAGACAATTTGCATACTTCATCCACCACTGCTCATTTGTTTTTTTAATGCAAAATCAAGTAGTAGTAGAAGCGAGATAGGAACAAAAAGCTCCCGAGCTTGATAGTCATCACCCGTCTGAGAATAGGACACACAGGATTAAATCACACACTCCATATCACAGTCAAGCAATCTGGTTGGACTATGTACTCAAACATGTATTAATAGACTGCAGCAAATATGACCAAGAAAGGAGGGAATTATTATCCGCATTTGATGAGGGACACAATATTACATTAGAAAATCTACTTCAAAAGAAACCATGGGAAGTACAAAATCCTTTAATTATTTAAAAAGAACAGGAATAATAGAGAGAAGTAATTTGTTTTTTTCCTGCCAATCTACTGCTCCACTCCAGTCCAGCAGGTGGCGCACCAGAAAAAACACCAGAAGAACAAGAAGAACTGCCCAAACTAAAACAGTGTGACATCCAGTGGAAGTAAACAACACTAGCTAATAACAGCAGCTGCATTAACGCGTTGAGTTTGCAGGAAGAGGATATTGTGGCTAATTATCTCAGCTGTAATGAAGCAACATTGTCTGCAGTTGAGTGTTTGAGAGAGACTGCTGGATATCATCTGGAAACCTGAAGTAAAGTTACACAGGATGTGTAAGGGTGTGTCAAACTTTATCATTTTAATGAGGATTTGGATTGATATATAATCCATTAATGTTACTGTTGTGGAGGAGTGGAAGTAACAGTTGCTCTCCTTACTGTAATCATTCAGTCAAAATAATAATAAGTCCTATTTCTGTGCAAATACTTGTACTATATATAAGTACCTATATTAAACTGTTGTAAAAAGGAGACAACATTCCTACTACTAAAACAGAAACCAAATGTGTAATTGATTTCAGCAACAACTATGTCCACTCTCTCACCATTTTATATATATATAAATACACACACACACACACACACACGTTTGAATGCTTTGTTCACATTATTGACACACGGACTCTTTAATGCCAGTGTGTGTATATACAGACAGGTCACATATTAAAAGGAAAATCCCTAATAAACGAGTGGAGAAACCCAACAATTGCAGATGCTTCCACCCAGGTGAGCTGCGTGGTACAGTTAAGCTCTGTGGCAGGCATAAAAATGTTGAGTAGGTATAGCTGATTCAGATTTTGTCAGACCGTATCCCCTAATAGTGAGGGAGTCTGGTGGCTCTGTTTCTATCTTGGTGGGCATTTTGCTCTTCTATGGCCTTCGCAGTCACCAGATCTCAACCCAACTAAACGGCTATGGGAGATCTTTGACGGACTTGTTAGACCGCGCGCTCCACCGCCATCATCAAAACACCAAATGAGGGAATGTCTTTTGGAAGAAGTCTCCAGTAGAGACCAGAGACCTGCCCAACACCTTACTAAGACACACTTTATGTTGTTTTTTTCCTTTAATTGGTCACCCATCTGTATATATATATCTACATATACACGTCCCCACACCTTGCAGGAATGCTGGCAGCTGTTGCCTTCATTTTTTTGCAGTCTAAAATTAGAAATCCGCTTTAGTTAGTCAAGTAAGTTGGGAAATTGTGTTATTAATGGATTTGTTTTTAAATAACCTCGGACAGAAGAGGTGCCCGTGTCGGATAACAATGTTTCTACAACAACCGATGGATTGTGCTCTTTTGAAAACATCACTGGTGAGTTTGGAAATATTGTTTCATAATGGGGTTTAATTTTGTGGTGAAAAAAATACTCATAACTTTTGCTTCCTTTTCTTTTGTAGCTACAGAACCTGAGTGTAGCTGAGGTCTAGTTCTAGGTCTAGTTTCTCTCAAACCACCAAACCCAATACAGAAAAGGATGATGGGAACATCTGCTTTGTTCTGATTGACTTCAAGGAACTCGGGGATGGCCGCCTAACACAGGAGGTTATTTTTCTTTCTCCTGAAGTTTTGAACAGTGAGCAATATCAGCCAGACACACAAGGATCTTGTGAAATGAAGCCACTTTCCTCCTCCTCTGCAGCTCTGAGTTAGAGCAGTGGCAGTGATGGAGGAGTGGTTGCAGAGCAAAGGTGCACAGACAAAGATGAAGAGACGAAAGGTCTTGCAAACACAAAAACGCAACAGGAAGCAGAAGGGTCAGGCTGCGTTGCCTGATGGGGACTCTTCTGCTAAAAGTCAAAAGGGCCACTGTGTTTGTCCTGTATGTGGAAAGACTTACCACTACATCAGTCCCTTCAGGAAGCACATAAAAACACTTAAGAAGACACCTGAGTCCATAAATAAGCTTGCAAGTCATCTGCAAAGAGCTCACAACAAACACTATTCTTGTGATGTTTGTGGCAAGAACTTTACAAACCCAGGTGTCTACAGATACATTTAAAATTACACACAGGGATTAGAGACTTTAAATGTAAAGACTGTGGGAAAACCTTTGTCCAGAAAGAGCACCTGATTGTGCAGGTGAGGACCCACCAGTTGTGAAACGTGGGAAATTATTTTACACCCGTGGCCATCTCAAAACACACATGAAACATTTTTCAGGACAAAAACCTTACACCTGTGACATTTGTAGTCAAATGTTTTGCCAAAGGGAACAGCTGATTTGACATCAGGATGCACACACAGCGGAGGGCGTCGAGTAACCTCTACAAGTATGGAAAAACCCATACGGATACGATTATTTTAGGTAAAAATGCACAACTTATAGCTTGTTCTGGTTGGTACATTTCCACAAAGATTACCATTAAGAGAAATTTACTGTCTATATGTGCTGTTCAGGTCAAGAACAGACATCCGTTCACATAGAGTGTCATCAAAGTAAGTATTTTTTATAATCTAATAAAGTGAGTTCATTCGAGACTAATTTTGTCATCCATAAGAAATATTAATCTTGTTTGGTTGGTTGGTGAGATGATGTTGGGATTAAAAGGGCACTTTACTGAAGTTAATAAAGTTTAGTTTACGTGTCATGAAGAAAACTACTCAGCCCCAAAAATAAAAACCTTGATTATAGTATAGATTAACGTTTCATTGTAGGAATTGTTGAATCTGATGTTTTTGTAGTTTGAACCTAGCCAGCAACTAAAAGCATATTTCATGCCTTTGCTGCTTCAGGTTTTGCCATTTAAAAAAAATCTATCTCTTTTGAGTCCCTCAACTTTATGGAAGTGCAATGCAAATGCTTTTTATTTCAGAAAATGTGACTTGAAACCACATTTGCCACAATCTGGTGAAATGTCCATAGTATAATAGAATCAATTTGCTTTCCATAACAGTGTCTGAGATCTGATAAATGTTTGCGGTATTCGCCAACTTTACTATCATTTATTAATTTAGCCTCTCAATGAAGCAGTTCATGATTTGCAGACAGAAAAAGCCTACCAAAAGTAATTTCACATTCTCCATTTCACATGTTATCAACAAGTTTAAACACACTAATAAAGGGACAGTAAAAAGTCTTTTTGCAGTCTGTGGATGGGAACCCATATCAGGAGGTAGTCTAAATGAAATTTCTTTTCTGCAGTTTGGCCAACAGGTGGCAGCAGACACACCAAAGTTATTTATGCTTTGGACTGGGGGGCAGAGGATGCCTACAGCTGTCAGTAACATTAGCTGACACTGAGAAGTGATCTACCACTCATCATTTAAGTCATGTATGCAATAACGCTGTGACACACCTCTACACCCTGCAGCCACTCCTAGTCAGTCAAGTCTATGGGGCAACTGTGTTTCTCATAAAACTAATGTAACCCTAACCCTAACCCTCCCACCAAAGAAATGTAAAAGAGAAAGTGTTTTAATAGTGTGGAACTGCCTTTGGGTTATTGATTTCTTTCCGTAGTTAGCTATAAAGAACCAATATCACAGTGCATCAGCCTTTAAACCAATAATCAAAAAATATTCACAAATATTAATAACTCCCATGCACAGTTACTGAAGTCAGCAACACCAAGCTCTCTTTTAGCATTTAACTTCTGTTTTGTAGAATAAAAGTGCAGCATATGTGTGCTACTGGGTATCCAACCGTATAAACCTGTCCATAAAATGTAGAAACCAGCAGGTTAATGCCAGGTCATGCAAAGTGAGCAATTGTGCGTTTATTACCTCCCTGACAGTGTCTGGGCTGCTCCCCTGCTTTGATGGTTGATTTCAGCAGGAAGCAATAATCCATGCACATCCTAAAAGAGCAAAAGCTGGCTGCTGACCTCCCTTTACTCTTTCTCTCACTCCTTTCAATCCCTCATATCCGTACATGATGGCCAAGATTACAGATATATCCCACAATTAAACAAAATAAATGTGTTAAAAACGAATTAAAATCAAAACAATCGAATTAGAAATGGATTTTGGACATATAGACAACTCATAACGTTGCTTAAAATCAATGAAATAAGTATTCTGGATTTTAAATGAGTCTTTTGAGCGGTAACTGGCATGAATTTTTACAGCTCGTAAAATTACATAAGTCTGCGTACTGAGGACTGCGGTGTCAGAGAGGGAGAGTGTGTGTTTTAACGCTGAGCGCAGAGAGCAGAGAGGAGGAGTCGCTTTGTCAACTGTTGGCCTCTCGAGTCTAATCTGGATTAGAGTTTCCAGTCCAGTCTGCAGCCAGCAGGACTCCAATAATCACATTATTCTGTATTGGGTTGACGCCTCCGGGAGCGGGGAGGGAACCAGCGATGTCAAACGGTGGCAACGTCGCTGACGCGTTCGTCTTAAAGCTGAACTGTTTATTTTCGGGGGAAATGTTTAAAAAGGAGTTTGGACGATTTCGCGACCAGGATTTTGCGACAATCTGAGTAAAGTTGAATGAATATTTGTTGCCCGCGGTCGGCGGTGGACTGTGCGCATCCCCGTGTGCAGCACACCGCACTCTGCTGCATCCAGACCACTGCAGCCTGCACTTGGAGCACATTTCTGAACACAGAACCTCTGACACTAATATCACAGGAGCAGCTGGTCAAACATGATAGATGCAGGTGAGTGATGTGGTTTGAGTGATAGCAGCAGAGCCTCAATCAGTTCAAATGTTACATTGTTCAAATGCTCTACAAGTGAGGACAGGAAGAGCTCAGACTGACAATGTAGTGATGGATTTTGCATCTCTTGAAATTGCACTAGCTCCTGGGAGGAAACAAAAGCTTAAAGGGACTCATCTGAATTCCTTAGTGGTCTTACATTGTCCATTAACAGTCAGCATCTTTTAGCCCTGGAGATATTGTCTTAATGATTGGCATTAATGAGATGAAGTACAGCTTCAGTGACACTGACCATGTGATACCCAGACAAACACACAGTCCTGTGCCAAATATATCAGTCACCAGGGTCAAATGGTAGTTTGAGGACAGGATTAAGCACAGGGATGCAGTTGAAATAAACGTCCTGCCTCTCTGTGTGGACAGTGTGATTCCAGGCTGACAGACAGTCCTCACATGAACTCATACGGCACTCCAACTGGACTTTCATGAAGTTCTGTCTCTGTTTTTTATCCCATTGTCCTTGTTTAAACAGGATCGAAAGGCCAAGAGGAGGACAGAGTTGGACAGACGTGATTTTTTTGGCAGGATTTCAATCCCGACATCAGGGATAAAAGTGGGATTTTCTGATGTTCACGTCATTTATTCATCTTTCTTTTAATCCATTTAAGGTTGACTGTACTCTTGAATGCACCTGCCTCTTCGTACAGACACACAGGGGTTGATATCACTTTCCCATGTGCCATTAGCACCTAGAAAGAAAGTAGTTTGCCTCTAATACCTTCAGTCATTAAACACACAAGTTATACCTTGTCCACACTTGTTTTAATAAATGCCAGCTTTATTAACTTTTTCCTCCACACTGAATGGTCTTATTGAGTGCCAGTAACCACAACCAACCAAGTCTTCTACTCATACACATTCAAGTGACCTACTGTAGTTGTATCAATAAGGATGTGATCCAGAGTGGAAATGTTTAGTCAATTCATTGGTTAGTTGGACTATTTTGAAAAGGGATAAATCATTTCAGTCAGTTTTTAAGCAAACATTTTGAATATACTTAGATTCCTGCTTTATTTTGTTTTGTATTATTGGAAAATTCATATCTTTTTACAAAACAACACATTTAAAGTTGTCATCTTCGGCCCAGGGAAATTGTACTGGGCATTCTCTTACTATGTTTTTATCAATACATGATTAATAATCATTAGTTGCAGCTCTAATGTGACATTTCTTGTCTCTCATGAGTCAAATTCTGTTATGTTTCTCCGCCACTTGCCCAAGTCTGTGGCAGAAATATGTTTATAACAGAAGCAGTTCGGGGCATCACAGATTTTGCATTTAGCTACATCTAAAAATCTCTTCATTTACTAATTATGAAATTGCAAAATCCGCTCTACTTTCCAGTCCCAAGGGACGAACCAGAAACTGGGGTTCTCTGGTGGTTTTTCTTCCTGCAGTAGTTCATCCACAGTCCTGAATGGAAAGCTGCCAAATCCCTGCGGACTCCATATTCCACAGAGCAGCAGAGGTTTTCCTCTCCCCGTCAGCATGAACTGATTCAAATTGACTGCGAAGTAGAAATTGATTAGGGTAATGCAGGGCTGTCTGGGTCAGTTTAAGCACTAGCAGAGCAGCACTTTTGGTTAATGAGATTTGACAAACAGCCCAGCAGGTTGGTGCTAAAATTAATATCTCTCCTTATAAACAGTGTGCAGAGAAGTGAAGAGATAAGGCTGGAGCCAACGGGAAAGTTAAATTATGCGAGTAACACGGTAACAAATGACAATCTGTAGCCTTGAAAATTGGTTTCATCCAGATCAGGGCTAGAATGTAAGTCTTAGTTACTTTTAACTACAACTTCAACAACACTCTCATCTTCTATTTAGTTTTCCATAGTGAAAGGAATCTGGCTGGAGCTGCATTTGCAACAATAAGATTAAAAGAAACAAGCATGAGATAACACACTAAAACAGGGACAAAATTATCTTAACTCAGGGTCCTGATAAGTGCTTAAATTCACTTTAAAGATAATTAAAGTTTTATGTGCATGTCCAATTAGTGTTGATTTTTTTATTAAACCTTTATTTA